TTTGGCGAGGGGACTGTATCATAATATAAAGAGCGCGTCGTGTCGGTAAGCATGGAAAGGTGTGTGTGTGTGTGTGTGTGGAGAGTGAGAGAGAGAGAGAGAGACAGAGAGAGAGAGAATGAGAGAGAGAGCGAAAGGGGAAAAAATCGCTGGATGATGAGCGTGTGTATGTTGTTTTACTGGATGCAGTGACATTTGGCGTCCTGTGGAGTTTCCTGAACTTGAAAACAAGGTTAAAGTCAGGGGTCACTTTTATTCACTGTCATATTGCTCCAGTGCTGTAAATCATACGCCCTGTCGTGATTCCCATAAACCCGATTCAAAATAATCACAGTATATAATCATGTCAGCATCCATTCAGCACTGCATTCATGCATTGAATTGTGTTACTTTGAAATAGGGTTTGTCTGCACTGTGGCACACACATATATCTGAGTTTTAATACGGGCCACTTTAAGAGGTTTATGTTTCACTGCCTCATCATAATTAGATCAAACAGCATGATGGTGCCCTCAAAATATCTGGCGCACTGAAGGTCACCTGTTAGCCTCATTAATTGTGATAATTAATTATGAAGTGAAGGCTCGTGTGTTTATGATAGCTTTCTGATTGGATTCAGGGCTGCCTTGCCCTTTCACTTTAGGCTACATGGTATTGCTGAACTACTGTAAGTTTCAAAAAATAGAAACTAAGAGAAAATTGATGGGCAATGTAAAGATAGCTAATTGGTGTACGTATTTTGAAATATTGAGACCGATTGTTTGCTTTACACTACTAATACCCATTCCAGGTGCTTGCTAAATCAAATATGCTGATTTAACATGCACTGCCACATATTTTCGAACAAAATATGACAATACAAGGATGAGTTTGCAATCCGAATTATACCTGTACTCTTAATTAACATAATGTGTGTGTGTGTGTGTGTGTGTGTGTGTGTGTGTGTGTATGTCTGTGTGTTACTATTATCACACTCGCTTTCTAAAACATAGGCCTCACGCTATTTAATTACAATTGTATTATTTCAAATAAGGATTATATGCATAGTCCTACAAATAAAAAAAAAATGTATGCATGTTAAGAATTTTAGAATAGTTTTGGAATTTTAATTTAATTTAAGTTTACCAAACGTAGTCTATTTTGTTTACCTTCAAGACATTTTTTTCTAAAAGTGAACCCGAAACATAGGCCTACAGATGAGCGCATAATGCAAACTTGTTGCTTCAGCTTGAAAGTTGATTTAAATATAATTCTTATATAGGCTAATCTTGAACTATAACTTCTCTCTGGTGGTTGAAATGAATGGATTTTTAGAAATGCTCTAATGCGCTAAACTAATGCGCAGGGTGTTTTTTTTACGAATCCGTTAAGAATTTGAACATAATTACAGATGTCACCTTTACAATAGCCTACTTTAATCTAAAATTGGCCATACTTTAATCCTTAAGACAGTGCCAGTGCCATATTTTTTTTTTTAATCGGATTTGGCTTTTTAATAAAACTGCGGTTATACATAACCTATAAAATAAACGTTTTATTTAGATATCGCGTTTTATAAAACGTGTGCCAAATGAATTATAGCCTATGCAACATCACCACTTCCTGTTGTACTGGACGAAGCAATTGTAAATAAGATAAACATTTTGTGTCGATTTATTGATCCGCACGTGTTGAAATGAAAAAAGAAATTCTTAAATTAAAATCGGCATGCTTTTGTTACTGCTCTTGTGAACACACTAGTTTCTAATAATCTCCAACTGATCTTCTTAAATCAATCAATTAACACTTTCAGTTACTTATTCCATCCTGAGTGTTGCTGTAATTGTATCTTTTCGCTCTACTTTCAATTGAAAGAAACTGATCCGCTAATGTAATCCACAATCGATTGTTGCATATTTCAATCATCCCCTGTCCAGAAGCTATGAGGTCGTAAGTCTGAAAGATAACAATAATCTGTATTTCTTAGACAATCTCAGAGGCCTTTTTTCTCCCCCTGAGATTCACTTATGAGGTCCTAAAATACATCTATTCGTTTACCATAGCTATAGTTACAATGTTATGGTATCTGTAGGCCAGCCTGTCATAAACGATAAAGATCCAGTTTTTGAACTCTAGAATTGTAAAATTATTAATAGGTTAATAATAATAGTAATACACATTTCACAACAAAATAATATCAACGATTGTTTAAACAGTTGCATTTCAAAAGCAACGGATGTCTGCATAATTGACATTCGATTTGGATATTTAACAGGGAATGCGAGTACGTGATTTATATTATCCACAGTTTACAGTATTGGATCATTTAAAACCTGTTTTTTTTTTTTTTGTTTGTTTTTTTGGGATAAACGTTTAAATTGCCGGGTTATTAGTGAAATGCCGTTGAAAAAACAAACTGTGATTTCGGTTTATATATAAATTACCATCAACCTGTCGTGTTAATATTTAACTCTGTATTGATCTGTGTTTTTGTTTCTTTCATATAGTGCCATTAGTGCTCAGGTTTGGCTTTAATTCGCATTTAAAGTAAAGGAGATCTATAATGTACCAACATTTAAAACACATTACAGCGATTTGAGGGAAAGTTCAGGGTCAAAAGTCTTTAAATAATTGAATATTCTTTGTGGGTGAATGCACCTATCCCATAAAGAAATGTTAAGCGCATTATCTTTTTTTTATAATCAATATTTGTTTCATTGGCGCTGCCTTTCAGTAACTTTATATTTTACACACTGTGAAAATAAAACTGAGAGAATTTTAAATTCTGAATAGACTTTGAAGACTCCCTTACATAGACTCTGATTATATTTAATAAATATACAATTATAAGCTGTTTCACTCATATTTTAGGCTATAAAACAATTATAAGAAAATATAATTTGATAGGCTATTTCAATTTTTGTGACATTGATTTCAAGACGCATTTACACGTTAGTCATCTTATATATCCAAACGAATTTTTCCATCACTGCTATACAGTTAAAACATTTACAAACTGTGCTTTCAGAGGCAAGGAGAGACGCCTAGGTAGGCCTCAACAGAAAAAAAAAAACCTCCATCACCCCCTCACAGACACACACACACACACACACACCGCTGCGCACGTCACGGAGACACGAGTGCGAATGAAAAATATCGACCACTATGAGAATGTGCGCAGATGTGGCTGGCTGCTAAATTTCGTGCTTGAATACGATCTTTTTCATCAAATTAATGGTCGATGGTGATAATGCAAAGTCTGTGACCTGCACTGTATGGCTTTCCATTTTTGTTTATGTGAAAATAAATGATATCGTGAGCCAGAGAGTTTGTTACCATTGTAAATTCCTGATACGCGGGAAAACATTTTTTTTTTTTAATGAATGAATTTACTTTTATTTGTTGGTATATTTCAGCTGACGGTGTTGTTTCACGTCCGAAGTCTTTAATTGTAATTCCCTTCAGTCGTTGGGAATAATAATAAACGTATTATTATTTATTATTATTAAACTCTTGTTACGTTAACCACTTGTCAAATCCTCACAAATTATCCGAGTTGACTTCTAATTTGTCGTAATTTGCATTGTTGTTTTTTGTCTGTTCATCTTAACTCGTTAATCCGGATGGCATTGTTCTTGACCCTGGCAGATGTATGTGTTTTGTCACTAAAAGCAGGTCCATAAGAAACAAGGAAAAGTCTGAAAAAGTTAATCTCTCTCCCTCCCCCGCAGCTGTTAGCTTCAGGAGTCTTGAAGCGTCACCTTTGACATGTCCCCTATGCGCACGAGCTGGGGGCCCCAGGACTGACCACTGCAAGCTGTCACCCCACCCGGGCTTGGACGCTTTCGCCGGGCTCCAACTGTCCAGTTATCCCATTCTCTCGCTTGACTGGTTATGAAACTGACTTTTGGAGTCGATTTTAACTCTAAACAATGTGAAATCGTGCAAAGTGATATCTCTGTAATGCGCGGGGGGGGGGTGTTGGGGGGTGGCTTGTAACTGTCTTAGTAATTTATGTTCTTCCAACTTTCAAAAACTTCTTTCTACAAGTTCATCATGTCAGATGTATCATGAATTTTGAATTTTACACAATCTACATTAATTGTATTTTTATGATAAATTAGGTAACTGTATTTTGTAAAATACTAATTTTACTGCGATCGCGCACTTTTCAACACGCAAGTTTAAGCCCATGTTATGTATATGCAAGAAATACTCACGAGTGTTTGTAACATTGATTTGATATAGAAATGCATTTTGCCTATTCAATGGAGTTCACCAATGAAACGTAATGTGCTGTGTCATTATACCGCGGGCCATGGAAGCGGGACACACTCCTGATGGCTTGGTTCGTTACTCTTAATAACACAACAATAGAAACATCTGTCCAGCCTTTCTCTGCCTATTACCAATCGTCTGTCCTTGATCCCAAAAACAATCCAACTCTGCATGGGACAGGATGACTTACATTCAGAAATCTGTATATTTGTATAATTTTTCTGCAATAATAAAAATATATAGGCTAGCCTATATTTATATATTGTGTGCGTCAGTGTGGAGACTTATTTCAACTGAATGTCTTGACGATTTATAGGCTATGTTGATAATATCCGCAGTCATATGTGCATGTGTGTAAAGATTTCTCTGAAGTTTGGAGCAAGAACTAGCCTAATGAATATGCATATTAATGTAACCAGAGGCCCCCAGGTGAACCCGGAAGTGTGTTTTCTGCGCCCATTGCATTAAGGAGGTTCTGCCAAACAAATTACCTTTATTCATGCATTATTCACGCGTAGCCTTTACTGTGACTTCGTAGGTTCTTCTGATTTTTCATATAGCTAAAGCTTGTCACAACACTTCATGCCATTCCACTGTCTTTAAAAATATATATATTATTAAGATTAGATAAAACAGTGTGAGGTTGATCATGCTGTACATCCAGCAGGAGGCTTTCCTATTTAATAGCAGTGGGGTGCATCTTCCTTAATAAGTGACGTCAAAGGAGCCGGGATCAGCGCGCATGCGCGGGGAAGCGGAGCGGCAGCCGCAGCACGGAGCAGTGCGCGAAACAACAGCAGACATGGCAAGAGATGGCGAGGGACGCGAGCACACCGATACATGCACTGCTGAAGGGACGGGGGCCTTAAAATTACAAAAAAAAGACAAAACTTTATAAAACATAGAAAAAGCGAAGGAAAAAATCAGAAAAGAAAGCAAAGAAAAAAAAACATTCAAGATAAGAACAGAACTTTTCCAATGAGAGCACTTCTGTGGACACTGCTCCGCTATATCAGATAGATGATTTGTCCACACGCTTGCACGTATAATGAACGCCCAGCTGTCGATGGAGAACATTGGCGATCTGCACGGAGTGAGCCATGAACCGGCGGATCTCATGACCGGAGACAGCGCTCATCACAGGAGCCATCGGAGCAGCCTGTCAGCCCATGCGCGCTCCATGGGCATGGCATCAATCCTGGACAGCGGCGACTATCATCACCACCGGCCCCCGGAGCACCCCGGGCTCGCCACGCACCTGCACCCGGCCATGAGCATGGCGTGCGAGGCTCCCCCCGGGATGAGCATGAGCAGCACCTACACAACCCTCACCCCGCTGCAGCCCTTACCGCCCATCTCCACCGTCTCCGACAAATTCCCGCACCACCATCATCACCACCACCACCACCATCATCATCACCCGCACCAACGGATACCGGGGAACGTCAGCGGGAGCTTCACCTTGATGAGGGACGATAGGGGTCTAGCCCCGATGAACAACCTCTACTCTCCCTACCACAAGGATGTGGCCAGCATGGGACAGAGCCTGTCGCCTCTGTCGGGATCCGGACTGAGCGGCATTCACAACTCCCAGCAGGGGCTGCCGCCCTACGCGCACCCCGGGGCCACCATGCCCGCCGAGAAGATGCTCACACCTAACGGATTCGAGGCACACCACCCCGCGATGTTGGCTCGACATGGGGAGCAGCACATGAGCGCGTCTTCGGCTAGCATGGTGCCGATCAATGGCATCCACCATCACCCGCACGCCCATCTCAACGGCCAGGGCCACGGGCAGGTGCTGGGCTCCACTCGGGAGCATAACCACTCCTCCGCGCCCGGATCGCAGCTGAACAACGGCAGCAATTCGGGCCAGATGGAAGAGGTCAATACCAAAGAAGTGGCCCAAAGAATCACCACGGAACTGAAAAGATACAGCATTCCGCAAGCCATCTTTGCCCAGAGGGTGTTGTGCCGATCGCAAGGGACACTTTCGGACCTGCTCCGGAACCCTAAGCCCTGGAGCAAGCTCAAGTCTGGTCGGGAAACCTTCCGCAGGATGTGGAAATGGTTGCAGGAGCCTGAGTTCCAGAGAATGTCAGCGCTCAGGCTCGCAGGTGAGAGAACAATAGGTAATACACACTTCTTCTCCTCTCCTCAGTTTATCACTCTCATTTCATTTCATTCAAAAGCAGTTCATGGCTGGCCAGCATTCATAGTTTTTGCCAGGTTTCCTAAGCTTACATTTTAGGTTTTGCGATTTTATTATGTGCTTGTTGTGCTACTGATACCTTTAAACTTGAGGTTGTGTTCTCGGTGTAAAACAAAATGACCGTAAGGTAAAGAGATGGGTTTAAAATAGAAAATAAAAAAATTGGTTTTGTTTTTCTAGTTTGTTTTTGGGCTAGTTGATATGCAATTTGACATCCTCAGACTGAGTTGTTTGCAGATAATGCACGGGTCAACAGAAATAGTTTGATCAGAAATGCGCGTCTGGAAGCCTCGGTGGCCTCAGTCCCATTGTCTATGTGAAAATGGATGCAATGTCCCTGTGTCAACTTGTCTTTGCGACACATCCATAAACACTGATCTTCATCTTCTTTTTTATAACATTAGGCTACTGCACGTTGTGGTGAAACAGCATGTTTTGTATCGTGAATACATTTCGTTTTTGAACTGCTGTGCGTAAATATATTACTGTTTATGTGCGCGCATTACTGAAACGGGCTCTGAATACGTGTCGCAGTGTGTGTGTGTGTGTGTGTGTGTGTGTGTGTGTGTGTGTGTGTGTTTGAGTTTACAAAACAAAATGACATGTTTTTCTTCTTCTGTCTTCTGGTTAGATCTCTTTATCTATTGTCCAGCTCCATTGACGTGCGCTCTGTGTAGGTTTTCTTAATTAACTGATTGGGGCTCCATTAATTTGCCTCATGAGAATTAGAATCAATTGGCTGGCGGGTTTGGGGGCCACTGATCCGTTCAAAGCCAGCAGTGAGAGAAAAAAAAGAGAGAGAGAGAGCATCTCAAATACGTGTCCCTCTTTTTTGCACCGCTCCATCATAAATGTCAGTTATTAGAGTAATTAATTTGTGCATGAGAAAAAGCTACTTTGAAAAAAAGACTTTTCGTGGCATTTATGTGTGTGTGTGTGTGTGTGTGTGTGTGTGTGTGAGAGAGAGAGGAGTGGTTTATGTCGATTTTAAATTTACGCTCTCTTTGTGTGTAATTATCTTAGTCTGATCATTATTATCAATCTTTATTTTACATTCTAAGTTGCGCTCGATTTGCTTTCGAAGTTTCTCTTTTATTATAAATATCAATGTCAGGGTATTATGAAAACTGAGGTTGGTCTGATGTGTGTTTGGGTTTGTTTCATTCAGATTCGGCCTTGCTCTGACTTTTGCCCCACATTCGTATAGTAAAAGAACACATATGAATTTACATCATATAATTTTATTTACACACGTTTCGGACAATAAATTACAAGGAACATGCTTACATTCACGTAATGCATTTTCATATGCTGTGTATTTTTTTTTTTTTTCGTTTGGTCGATATAGCTTCAAAATCCCAAAATCGTTTGCATCATTTTTACTATTATTATTATCAAATAAAATCATAATTAAGTAATGAAGGTAGGCATGTCAGTTAGATTTAGTTTTTTTTTTTTTTTTTTTTTTTTTTTGGTTTTGCGAGATGATTTTCATATTCCGTTAAATGATATTGAAATTAGTAAAGGTTCCAGACACAGTGATGTATATTATTGATCGAGTACACATGGTTGAGGGTATGTGATCGGCCTACTGAGAGGTAAATATAGAATTGGCATATTGATTATTCAAATTCAGTTCCCTTCTCCTTTTCCTTAGTAATTTAAGACAGTAGACCACTCAGCAGTCTTTCACATCCCTGCTTTTACACCTTTTTCACATGCGGGATTTTTATGATGTGAATTTGTCGTTCACGCTATGTATTTTACCTCAGCTCTTTATTTTATATTTTAGCATATGGTTGTTAATTATGAGGAATTACCAATTATACTATGTAAACGGTCCCCTGGTCTACTTTTATTAGAAAAAATACTATTCTCATTATAACCAACCTTAAACAATTTGCCTAATTTTGTTTAAAAGATTATACATGACAATAAATGTGATTTTAACAAACTTTTTATAACTCATTTTTTACAAGTAATCGGTAATCATTTTGCTATCGATATTATTTGGGAATAAATGAAGCAAATGAAAAACAGAAGAAATTTTAAGCATTTTGCAAACTACTCCATGAAGTAAATTATTGTAATATTATAAAAAGTTGGCCACATAGTAAATATTAAAATGTATCAAATAATGTATTACAGATTGTGCACATTTACATTTAAAGATTTAAACAACAACTGCTATCTAAAAAGCCATACGACATTTTTAGTCTATTTAAAATGAATAAACTGATTAATGTGCATGTGGCTACGCTAAAAAAAATAAGACAGTAATTCAAAAACGATAGGCCTACTAATAATTTATAAGAAGCCTAGGCCTATTATTAAAATGCGTAACAGTTGATAGCCCATATCTGAACTTCTGCTCTATTATATATTATAATAATACACAGGCTATAAATAGCGATAATCACATTAAATATCGATTTATTAGGCCTAAAGTTTTGTTTTGTTGCATGGAGCCACTGTGAAATAAGTGACCATGGGCGCGCCCTCGCCCTCGTGTGCGCGCTTATCTGGCGCCTGTCTAATGATTTGCAGACAAACAGTACCTATATGTGATGATCAAATGTGCTGAAGGATAAAGAGGTTCGCAGTTATTTCCCTGGGAATCTGCTTGGGTCTCGTCACAGTGGCCTTGTGCATGGACACCGTTTTGATTTATGACATGATAGCGAGCTCATTTGCTTTTTGTTAATATTTACCCAAAATGCTTTCCTTGCGCATAGTTTCGTTCTTTCTTCCTTCCTTTCTTTTTTTCACGCGGCAAGAATGTACATTTAAGTTTTATTCTATGTATACGTCCGCTTTGCATAGTTAAATACGCAAACACAATAGATAGAAACTAAATATTTAAATATTATGAATGTTTAAATAATATTCAAAAGATGAAGCCTACTGTTAATGAATATTAAATATTCAAATGAGAGTAGGCTTATTTATTGTCTAAACATTTGCATGTAAATGAGAAAACGTGCTTTAGAATGAACCATTTAGAACTGAGACGCAAATTTGTGTTTTGCATATGAATGAGATGAGACGGTTTATGTGTTTAAGAAAACAGACTGCCTTTATGTGCGTGACGGTTCAAGTAGGTTTTGCACCGTCCTTTAGCGCCCCCTTGTGTGTGGTTTTTTTTTTTTTTTTTTTTTTTTGTAAACTCAACCGTTATTTCAGCCACTGGGAATTTACGTGCACAAAAACAGAAAACACCAGTAAGCTTCTTCATTCAAAATGACTGCTTATTGTGTGGTTTAATAAGCGTTTTTTATTATTATTGTCAAGCAGTAAGTGATCATACTGGTTATGATAGTGTACTTCAATGCGTATGGCTAGATTTAAGCACCACGGACAGTTCCAGAGACTAAAACCCTCCAAAAGCAGCAGTTTGTGTGTTTTGTTTTGTCTTTTCCATATGTTTTCCATGTTTAGCAAACTCACCCTGTCATGACAAATAAGTCTGCTTTATCCTTAGTTTCTTTTACACGTTAGGCAATCATGTTTGACTTTTGCATGTCAACCTTTTGTTTTTTTCAGCATGCAAGAGAAAGGAGCAGGATCACGGTAAAGGCGAGCGGGGGAGCCTTTCCAAGAAGCCCCGGCTGGTCTTCACTGATGTCCAGCGTCGGACTTTACATGCAATATTCAAAGAGAACAAGCGCCCGTCCAAAGAGTTACAAATCACCATCTCTCAGCAGCTGGGCCTGGAGCTCGCCACCGTCAGCAACTTCTTCATGAACGCACGTCGACGGAGCCTTGATAAGTGGCTGGACGACGGCAGCTCGGCCAACTCCTCCTCCTCCAGCACTTGTACCAAAGCATGATGGAGTAATGGCTGTATTATGGGAAAAGAAATACAAAACAAAACAAAAAACTTCGGTGGAAAAGCTTTAAACAAAGAAACTTAACAAGAGACAATTTTAGACAGCGTTTGCCCTTAAAACTTGTACAGTACCGATATTTATAATACCCAAAGAAAAACACCAAAGACTGCTTTGACCCCCATTTAGGACTTTGTTCGTTTATGTCTGACATTCTGCAACAAAAAAAAAAAAAGGAAAAAAAAGGTACACTCCAATCACGGGTCGTTCCCCATCTAAACACACTCCCCTAACTTCCATCTCAAAGTCTTTCTCTTTTTTTTTTCATGTGTTCAAGGACTTTTCTCATCAATGATTGGTCATTATCTCAAAGCGTGGAGTGATTGTTATTCACTCTGATTTCAGATTTCACCTCTGTGTTTTTAGGCATCCCAGATCTAGCCAGGGATGCTAAATGTAATCAGGTTGTGTAGAATCTTGACAAAGGTTGCCTGAATGTCACCCTCGGGATAGTGCTTTCTTCCTAATTGTTGGAAAAGTTACATAGGAACCTAAAAATACATGTGAATTTGCCATCTTATCAATCACAGATGGTAGAACCAAAGAAACATGTGTATTTTTTTGATTTAGTATTATTATTTAAATCAGACCAAACGATGTTGATTCCTCTCATCAAGTCAGGTGACTCCATACATGTAATATGGACTGCAGTTCCTGTAGCCATTGAACACATAATTAACTCTTATTTGTCCTAATGAACAAACTAGTAGTAAGCATATATACGTGAGGACACATCCGTGCCCCCGCCTCAGTCCTTCCTTGTGATTATTTCAGGGAGATTTTTGCTAGCTTTAACCTGCCTTTTTTAAACCTGTTTTTTAAATGTTTCAATGCCAGTTGCTGAAAACCAAAGATAAAGTTACTCTAACTAGCACCTGTCACCATTTCACGCCCACATCCATCAGTCAAATATTGCCACAGCTTATAAGGCGATATTCTTTTTATGCTTTGTCTGGAGCAAGTGCATGTGCATGTTAATTGTCATTAGAGGAAGCAGGAGGAAATTCAGGTTGTTTTGTGTTACATTACATTACATTTCAAAAAAGTTTCACAGACTCAGAGCGTATATTTCATTCCATTCAACCAAGTTTTTCATCGTTAGAATGTTACACTCTTAAAAATGCGGGTTTGTTTAAACCTTTGTTTTGGGTCAAATAGGACATGGGTCATTTGACCCAAAATTGCGTTAAATCAACCCAATTATAATGTACAGAAAAACGTTTGAACGGCTGGTGGCTGTCAGTATGCTTTCACAAACCCATAAGCCGTCATATTAGATTCATCGGTTTCATTTACCATTAGCCTAAGTTTTTATTTCTTGATAGATGTCTAATCCATCATTCTCACGGCATCGACCATCAACACCACCGCAGTGTCCCCATCCGGGCCCGAACCCAATATCCCAGTAAGAGAGAGAGGGAGTGCATTCTATGCATTTCACAACTAGGAAGAAAGCATTATTGAGACTGAAGCAGGGTGATGCGTTCGCTTCATATAATAGACTCACCCAAACTCACAAGATATCTGGCCTTGTTGTCTCTTGTAGTGTGTTTTAGCTTTAAAAATATATTTGGTATTTATGACTATTACAACATCGAAGCATATATAAATGAGCGCTGCTTCCTCATGTAGAAAAGCAGAAGGAAAAAAAATGACAACAAAAAAAAGAACAAAAAAACAAAGTTAAGACCTGCTGATATTTATAGAGTGAACCAAAGATGCTACCTCAGTCCGTTTCCATTCGTGATTTCTATCAAAGTAATGATACCAAAGAATACCAAAGATTTGTTCTCTTTGCACGGCCTAAATGAATGATAAGGTGGATGAATAGATGGTGTGTTTCCCCTCCCGGTTTCCTCCTCTCCTTCGCTCTAACGCTCTCTATCACTCATCCGTGCTCATAACAGCGCCCTCGGCAGACATGTTTTAAACTCACAGGACGAGTGCCTTGCTTGAACCAAAGTGTTAAACCGCCGTTGACCTCTCGACACCCACCTTTTAACTCTCGGAATACCTCAGCCTGTGGAAGGGCCACTGACGAAGAAAAAAAATGGAATATTTCTTCTCTCTCACCGTGGTGCTTTTGCCAGCGCAACCATGCAATGAAAACATACCAAAGGAATTTCTCTTGCTTTCTCCAACTCTCGCTGACAAACCAAAGCTCCTGCCACCTCCCCTTTTAAACGCCCAGCCCCTCCCCCCTCGCCACCTCACCAGTGGGTGTGTCCACCGATTAGGCCGTGCACGTCTTTACCGATCTCTGAATACCTCATAGTAATAAATTTTCACAGTTCTGTTGTATAGAGAGTTTATGTGATTAAGGCAGAACTAACTAGTTTGGTAATCATTGATGTTACTTCGGGAAAAAGCTTTATGAGTATTTATTTTGACAGTTTTGGCGAAAGTGCTCCGTTTTGGTCACCAAAGGCGAGTTTCCGTGTTATAGCAGACTGAAACTCGCAGAGAGTAAAAAGATGCTTATTTTTTTTAAAAAGCCTTGTGTTATTCCGATACTCTAAGGATGTTTGACTATTCTTTTTTACAGGGTAAAACCAACTGCTGTGATTCTGTGTCTATTCGTTCACTTTCTTCTATACTACGGTGTTGTGATTTCCGTTAATTTAATTGCATTTTCTTTTTGTATCGCTTAACCTCTGTTTTAATTTATGTATTTGTAGAAAATATAGATTTGTACATAGTAGGCTTTTTTGAAAAAAAAAAAACAACAAAAACACAAAAACAAAAAAAATGGACATTCATTTTATTTCACAGCCTTATGTCTGAAGTGTAGATATATTGATGAATTTCCATTCCTCTGTGTTTGTATGTTAGATGGCACTTTGGCCCTTGTACTAATACACTGCCAGACAGAGAGCCGCGGAGGACTGACCTCGTCGTGGCATAAAAAAAAGCAGTGTATGATGTGTTCAGTTGATTTTATTTTTGTTATTTAAATGTCCAGAATGATTTTGTCCTTTGTACTTCAAATCATTGTGTTATGGGTATTGCTGCACATCCAAAGATTTTCTAACCAAACCAAAAAGTGGGAGGGGGGATGTGGGGGGGTGGGGGTTGCGAAAGAAAGTAGTCTACTTTTTGCATAAGCACTGGCGTCTGTGAGGTTATTTGCTGTCTGCACGGGTATGAACCAGTAGAGGGCATATAGTGGGACAATGTAGACAAGCTTAGTTCAACTTAATGGGGGCATATACTGATAAAGAGTACAATCTGTGGCTTTTGGGACGGAGGGCTACAAGTCCTGCTCACTTTGCTATGTCGGACACTGAGAGGGTGGAGCGTGGGCGGGGCAGCGGGTCTGCCGGGGGGCGGGGTCACGTCACTGGGTTGATTTTTAATTGACGTGGCACTGCTGCCTAGATCCATCTGATGTGTCAATTTTGGTTCGAACGTGTGTACTGACAATGAGCAAAGTCTAATAAATCTGCAAAGAAAACAGGAATTGGTGTGTGCATGTATGGGGAGGGCGGAAGTGTGTGTCTAATGTTGGTGATGTAATGTCTGCTCCACTAGTGGCAACAAACAGATCTGCCGAATTGTTTTAAAAGGAATTCTAAATTACCGGGAGATAAAGGTCTGCATTCAACTTAGCGGCGTTATGGGATGCCCCCAAAAATTGGTTATTGGCAAAATATAGCTATTATGCAGTTAAGCCATTATGTTGGAAAAATGTTTGTTTTGTTAGAAAACACGACTACTTTTAAATAGACAAATGCGCCAGCATATTGGCAAACTAACCAGCCGAGCTGAAAATCACAGCATTGGTTGTTATTTCAGCAGTTTCCATTTCTGTTTGATTCTGCTAGTGGTTCAGACATGATTTTGTACGAGTGTGTCTGCATAGGATTGAAGAAACCGCTTGAAAACATCAGGAAAAGAATGATGCAGAACGATGTCCTTTATATCAGCAGGACTGCAGAGAAAGCCTGTGATAGCAGTGCTTTTCGTCTCACTATGCTGTACAATCAGAATTGTTTTATTTGTTGCTGGCCATTGGTTTCCAATGTTGCAAAAGGGATATCGGATAGATTATCCAGGTGCAGCGTTTAAGATTTTTTAAGAACAGCAAAGAGTGTGAGTCAAGATCCTCTCTGCCCACAACACAGTCAAAGACTCCACAACCCCTACAAACCCTACGCTCCGTCCCGACCCACTCCTCTAATGTAGTGTCTAGCTTAGATAGCTCGATGTATGTGAATGTTGGGATTGCTCTAATCATTAATTCCTATCCCAGTTGGTTGTCGTGGAAAAGGAGTTCCTATTTGATAGAAGGCTTGGCTCTGTGTGCCGTATAATACTGAGAGCGCCTAAGACAATCAGCTGGAAAACAAAATCATGTTTTTCATTTTTTTTATATTTATTTTTTTGTAGGTCCAAGAGGGACTACTTCCAGCGATGATTATTATAAAGAAGGAGGAAGGTTTTGATAAACTGAAAAATAAACTTGCTGACATTTTCTTTCACAAAAAGTAGCGCTTGTTTCCATTTCGAACAGTGCATCTTGTATCAAGCTGGTTCTGTTTTTTTTTTTTTTACACTTCTCTTTCTCTGCCTATTTTCTCTGTATGTTGTGTCTGTTTCAGTGGAGGAATGCAGTAGGTATTACTCTCAGGTAGTAATGCGTCATGCTTTTCATTTTAAATTCCGATCTGACAAATTGTTTTTTTTTTCTTCTTTCCTGTTAGCTACTGTTCTCTATATGCCGTGCAATATCATCTTCTGTGTTTGCTAAGCAAGAAAAAAAAATCGAAAAAAAAAGATGCAAGTAATGATGTCACCATGCTTTTTTCAGTGTTAAAATGTTTCAGCATTTCTGTAGTCACAAAAATGTAGAAAAATAAAAAGGTTGGGTTTTCCAGCACATCACAACCAGACTTCTTGACTATCTTGTCTTTCATTCAACTATGATTATATTCAACACAATGTGGTTACATATATCCTTAAAACACTCCAATCCTAACTTACTGCATGTTCATTCGTTCGTTAGTGCACTGTAAAAAAAAAAATTATCCATTTGTGTATATAACTGCCCACATAATGTTTCACTACGCAACCTATATCTGAAGGATAAGTTCTGCCCTACGTTTTTTTTCTAGTTCAATATCTTTCTATTTTGTAACATGCCGTCAAAACAACCTCAGACAGAATATTGAATATTTCTGTGCTGAATGGCCTGTATTATGGTGTTATTTGCGAGTTTTAAACAGGAGGTTCAATGGTATCAAGGGAAGCACAGAGCTCAGGTTTCTTGTCCAATAATCCCAAAAGGTTTTGTTACAACAAAGGTCATGGTTTGCACAATTTTTTTATATTAGACCAACTATTCTTATATAGTATATACAATATAAAGTATGTGAAACTATGCCTTATGCAACAACACATTTCAAGTTATAATATGCTACACTGTACTACTGTCACAGAGTCAGCTACACCAACCATCACCATCATTTTTATCTTTGACAAGATGATTGACAGGTCAGTTTGCATGACAGGATGCTTGTTAAAAGGATAGTTCACTTTGAATTTAATTTTTGATATGTTTTAGCTTACCTCAAGGGCATCCAATATGTTGGTGTCTTTTTTCCACAATATTTTCAATTTTGATATTTTTAGGTCAAACCATTCTTGTCTGTGAGTCATGTAATGGAGGTATATGGGGTGCAAAGAGCATGCACAAAGAAGTCGAAATTAAACATGATTTATTGACTCGTAAATGTAAGTACACATTGGATGGCCTAAGACACGAAACGAGCGGTTATCAACGTGCATCAATGCAACGAGCGCAGACAGAAGCGCCCTCGCCCTCAGAGTACTTGGACGTGACTGTGATTACAAGATGTAAAAACGATATAAATACTGTTTTCTCATACAAACTGCTCGTTTCGTGTCTTAGGCCATCAATGTGTACTTACATTTACGAGTCATTCAATCATGGTTCCAACTTCCCACTACACAGTAAAAAATAAACCGTAAATTTTACGGTAAAAAAACGGCAGCTGTGGTTGCCAGAACTTTACCGTTAAAAATACGGTAGGAACGTTAATGGTTTTACAGACTTAACTTAAAATTTACAGTAATAAACCGTGGGAATGTCAATTTATGGTTTTTCACTGTAAATTATACAATGATTTGTTCTTTTTCACTTTCAAAAACTGTAAATTTACCGGTATTTTACTGTAAAATTATATCACAGTTATTTAACGTATATGGTACGGAAACTTTCTGTTTACCAATTAACAGTTTTGCACTGTAGCATTTTTACAGTATTTTACCGTTAAAATCACGGTTATTTTTACCGTGTATCGTTCTCTCTGCTGAAATAAACATCTGTTAATCCACTTACCTGTCTGTTCACTTCTGTTGTGTGACAGCGACAGTGCATGCTACATTGTTTGATTCAACATTCTATATCCTCAGTTTATGTTGCCTATGCCATGAGGAAAGATGGATTCCAGTTGATCCTGCCCCAGCCAAGGGTTAAGGTGGGTTTATTTGCTGCAACATTCACATAATAAATCATATTAACAACTTATGTTATTTGATCCAGAAGAAACTAACATTTTACAAGGTTTTTTTCAAGGTTTTATATTCTCTGAAACAATTACATGGATTTTCTGCATTATATAGAAAACCGTAAACTGTAAAAGGTTCTATATGTAACTATTTTTATAAAATGAATCCTTTTTTTATTGCCTGTGTTTGAAGGGGTTGTAATCACACATTGCAACGATCCACTTTTCGGGTTTTGCCATTACCTCTGAAGGCCAATATTCTTATTTATATGCGAGGTCTCCCGGGTCGGATTTCCTGCGAAATCCATCAGAAGTGACGTGCATGCGCGCTCCCGAGTCCCGAGCCTCTCTATCCTACAGTCTATCATGCGAACAACGGCACTTCAGCTGACGACATGGAGTCTGATAACCCCCCAAAACGTCCTGCCTCCAGCACAACACAGACTCCAACACAAACTCCACATAAATATATAAAAAAAGAAGTTTTATCTGCTCAAGCTCGTCAGGCAAAACGTGAATCTGATCGACTCCGGATGAAAACGCGGATCAACATAGTAAACTCAAGTGAAATAACAAGGTACATTACATGAATACAAAATAATGTTCCAGGATAACATTAGTATAACATTTAGTATGTAACTTATTTTATTTACTAGATCTAACGTACTGACTAATGTCGTCATCCCATATTGTTTATACACATTTCCAGAAGCGTTCAGTACAGTATTGTTACTTCCTACGATCTTACTGAAACACTGAAACAGTTCAGTTTAGTTCACTAACCGTTTTCATTATTATATTATACATTCACCTATGTTGACATTACTGATTGTGAAAGATACACGAATAGTTAGAGAATCAGATGTCGGCTAAATGCAGTTTATTGTAACATTATGATCATGGAACGAGCACAGAGCATTACTTCAACGTCAAGCTGATAAAAGTAGGCTATTATTGTACCTGCAGTGTGAGTTTGCATTAGTTTCCAGCATGTGTGATAATTTCGCGTTGCGTTGACAGTCTCCGTGTGGCTGGTAGTGAATGATTGCTCGCTCTTGAGATTGAGCACGAGCGCTCTTGTTGCATTCTGAAACATCACCGCTAGAGGTCGCTAAACGTCGCATACAGCACCTTGTAAAGTGGCAAATTTATTCAGCCTCTCTAAGCTGTAATTCTACATAAAGACCACTAGATGGCGCAACACAGCTGTTAATACTGAACCAGTGTCCCTTGTGTCAAACAAAGATAGCCTACTTCAATCACAAATCTGACTTTATTTGGATAAGCAGGTTGGATCCAGTTGTACCTGGTCTTTTTCATGTTTGTAGTCCTACGCAGTTATTTATGAATAGAAATCCAAAGTCACATTATGTTAAATATCATCATTTGATTGGTGGGCTCTTAGGAGGTAATCTTTTTTATTTCATCTCGGGATAATGTGTTAAAGCGAATGTGTGAATCTAAAGCCTATATCATTATGATTTGTGCTTGATATCTGTCAGTGAAAAAAATGAAGGTCAGTTTGATCCTCTGAGTATTCATTTGTTCTTTTATGCATGAAAACTCTGTTCCATCAATCACCCATGACCTGTGTGCTATTATCTAATAACAGGAAAAGAAAGTCGAGAGATTTTAATGAGGCCTGAACCCTTGGGACAGATTAAATTTAATAGATTACACATGGTAACATTCAGCTGACATTCACTTGTATCAAAATGCACGTGTATTTTCCTTAATACTAGTAGTGTGGAAATAATTAGGTGACCAAATGTTGAAAAAATAACATCCAAGAATTCTGCTGTATTCATGGACATAATCTGATGATAATGTTGTTCACCGTGATTTGATTCCAAAGAGAGTCTTGTGTTAGAAGCAAGAAAATTGTATCGTTTTTGTATAAATTACATTTTGAATCCCAGATTATCAAAGTGATCTCTGATTTTGGACCCCATTTATATGCTGTATATTAGTATCATTTATACAACATTAATTGTCCTATACAATTAATTAATCTCATTTTAGTATAATTCTAAAATTGTCTGCCTTCTAAAATTGACTGCCGTCTTTTGCAGTGACATCTTTAAGGATATTTATTAAAGGTTAAAGCATTAGAATAACTTTTATATTGTTGGTAATATAGTTTATGTATTAAATATTAATATTTAAAGGGTAAGTTCACCTGAAAATTATGTCATTAATGACTCACCCTCGTGTCGTTCCAAGCCCGTAATAGTCCAGTCATTTTAAGCCAAAATGAGGGTCAACCTTGAACAAATTGCAACAGAAGCAAATTCAACTGATTTTGTATCCTCAATATGTCCTGAGTAAGGAAAAAAAAAAAGCCCCGAAGAATCCCATTAGGGGAAAGTTTAGAAAAAGACCCAAATACATCCCATTCATACGCATATTCATTCTTTTTCTCACGTGAATAGGGTAAAAATTTTAACCTTTAGATATCATCATGAAAATCTCTTGAGTTGATTACTTACATCAAGACAAACAAAAAATGTATTACACGTTTTTTGCTATTGTTCGTTAACATGGACAAATGGTGCATAATCTAATTACATATGTGCTAATTTGCATAAATATCCAAACAGATCTAAACATTGTGGGTATAGCAGGTGAAAATGTCTTTTAGAATTTTGTTGACATATAACAGTAAACTATTTAATATTAAGGTCTGAATGGAACCCATTTACAGGTATGCTACCCATGAATATTAATACAGGAAGAAGTGCTTTAGAAACCAGCCTTTATTAATGATTATGGCAGAGATGGGGTTTGGGGCTGGGTCAATGGGACTGATTCTGGGGGATGAGTCTGAGGGAAGAAGAGGAGACAGATGGGTAAAGAGAATGCAGAAGACAAAAGATAGGTGAAATAAAAAGTGTCTGGATCAAAAAATCGAATTACGTACACAATGCACTCAATGCCCAAACCCCATCTCTACAATAATAATTAAAAAAGGCTGGTTTCAGAGAAATTTTCTCTCGATTTACAAATATAAAGTATTTGTACAAAGTAATCAGCAAAATATATAACATTGGCCTAGTGGTTTTTGGATATTTACTACAAAAATCCTACATGTTGTACCTTTAAGAAAACGTTCCTGCAACGTCATCAAGGGCGTAGGAACGTCTTTGACATTGGGGGGGGGGGGGGGGGGACATATTGGCCACTATGAATCAACGTCTATCCCACCACCATATAGTAACATACAGTTTGGTGATGTGGTACTTGTAGTTGTGGTCTGTTTTGGGGCCCCCTCCCACTATGCGAAGTCACCTGTGCTTGACGATTATTGACACAAATGTCACGCAATAATGATCCATTATAAAGGAATGCTGTGTTAATAAAAAATAAATACTTAATAAAAAAAATAGATGCCTACTGAAAAAAAAAGTTTTAACTTTTGCTTTACTCTTTTACTAACTCTTTGAAACTTCTTAAAACAAACCATCTCAAATATATATATATATATATATATATTATTTGCTAAAATAATGAGAAAACTGAGAAATCAGAAACAAAATAAGAGCAAGGGTTTAATGACAATTATTGTTGAAACCTGTAAAAATATTATTATTTCTCAACTGTCTCAATACAATGTAACTGTCCTCAAAATCCTTTATTATTATTATTATTATTGTAACAGACTTTTTTGGATTGTAAATGACATAATCCAACAAAGTATGTTACTATAATACCGGTACTGATGTACTAGCGCTCGTTGTATGTGTGTATGCAAGTGTATTTTTCCCCTCGGGGCTTGCCGTAGATGGGTCCTGCGCACTTAGTACGGTCGCGAGTTTTTGGAGTTACAGTGATCTGATGTGTGAAATAATAAAGAGGAGAAGAGTTCAAACTGCTGTGTTTATTATTTATTCAAACTGCAAAAAAGGTATGTGATATTATAAGTGACATGATTAGATAAATCATGTAGATAAATGATTAGATAAATCATGTAGTAGGTTCCAGTTCAAAGCTGGTGCGTTAGTGTAATGTTAACTTCTCTCTACCAATCGGATGCTCCGGTGAGTGAAATACATGAAGCGAATGGTGATTATTCAAACATGAAATGGGAAAGTTTCATGTTTGAAACACCCCCACCCCCCCGGTTCCTACGCCAGTGAACGTCATGCTAACCTTAAGATAACGTTCCTGCAATGTTATGCTAACCTTGAGATAACGTTCCAGCAAGCAATGTTATGCTAACCTAAAGAGAACGTTCCTGTAATGTTATGCTAACCAAGATAATGTTCCAGTAATGTTATGCTAACCTTAAAATAACGTTCCAGCAACGTGCAAACTGGACATATCCACGTTTTTAGAACATTTCAAACGTTCCCACAACCAAAATGGAATATTTGGAAAACGTTCTCAGAACATTAGTAGAGCATGGGCAAGGTTTAAAAAAAGAGATAAAAATAGAAAAAAGATTAGAAAATTTTAAGTACTAATAGGAGAATTTTCCCTCAGGAGAAAAGTCAGGAGAAAACTCCCTCTCATGCTCGTCCATAAAATGGCAGTGAATTCCGTTAAATTTTATTTTAAATTTCATATTGTATACTCACTTGGAATATATGACATATGTTGCATGCATCATTCTGTCATACTTTTTCGTCTTTTTTTAAATAGCTTGACGCTGGTTGCACTGCCATAATGTGAGCAGGACACTTTTTTTTTAATCCTTTCTGGTCCATAAAAGAAGAGCAGCATTAGAACAACAACAGGTTGAGTAATTTAGGATTTAATTCATTCATTTTTAATATGAATTCATACTACGTGAATTCATTTTTAATTTTCATTTTTTCATTCATGTGAATTCATTTTTTTCATTTCATTACTTTTTTTGTGAGGCTATTCTCATAGAATTGTATGTCTATTGTATGCCCAATTGTATGCCTGATGTAGGCTATTTGTGATACAAAACAACACACATGCAAACTCTTAGATTTTCCTGTATATTTTGACTAAAGGACTAATAAAGCCTAAATTCAATATGTTCATGAAATAAAGTGTCAGAGTTTCATCAGAAAATTTGGACTAGATAAAGACAGGTAGACCAACTAGACCGTTCAATTCATATGGATTCGTTTTTTATCTCTTTGTGAACTTTTGAAGCTTCAGTTTCATTTGTGTAACATTAGTTGTCTGGAGTGACAGACATCTCTCAGAGTTTATCATCAAAAAGATCTTCATTTGTGTTTAGTTTGGAATGACATAAGGGTGAGTAATTAATGGAAGAATTATCATTTTGGGGTGAACTATCCTGTTCCTTTAAATTCAATGTCTTGCGTTGCCGTGGCAACGATGTCAAGCCAATACCGCGGGGCGGAAGTGACGTATAACCTGGGGGCGGGACGAGCTGTTGTTGGGACACATGACTTAGAGGCTGTCCTCCTGCATTTGTTTTGACAAGCAGAGAGAGAGAGAGAGAGAGAGAACATGAGCTTTGTCCCTGCTGATCATTTAATCTCCGAGATATCGTTTAGACAGCTCGAAAACTTCTATTTGGAGGTTCGTCATCGCTGGGTTTTAGCAGGCGCTTTAAATAGATAGTTGGTTGAACTAGTTGCCTCACTTAATCAAGTCCTTCCAGAATTGTTCTATGTCTATGGGGAGGGTTTATGATCAAGTGGTCGAGAAGGGGGTTTAGAGCTATGAGCCACTTCTTGTTGGCTGAAGTCATCACCGCAACGTAACGCTTCTCCAGCCTGGAGGAGGAGATGATGTTGGTGGCTCCCAAGTAGTGTCTCCTCTGCCTGTCCTGGATCTGATCAAGCTGTCCGTAGGGTTGGTGATGAAGGTCCAGGGGATCCCGATGCGTCTCAAATGGCATTAATTTGAGCTGATCAGTGGCACGGGAGAGTGTTGGTAGTGGAGCTCGTTTGGCATCGGCAATGAGGCGACTGGTAGCGGATATTTGGGATATTTAGCTAGATAAATAGAGACGAGACATGATATGTGCATGCTTATTTAAGTAGAACGCTGGTGTTTTGGTGAACTAGTTCATCAGACCACTGGACTCTAACATACAGTGGCGTATAGATCTACGTTTGATCTTACAGCTCAGATCATCGATATCCGAATGGCTGTTTGCCCGATCGATAGCTAACCGATGTCTAAAGGACGAGTTTTAAAGTCTAAAGAAAGATCTGAAGACGGAAGACGGACCGCAGGCATTCTGGAGGGGATCACGGTGTCTGTGACCAACATGAAACCTGACAGAGGTAAAAATTAATAAAAGAAAATGCGTGATTATGAGTGTTTGAATGTCATCTGTCTTTGGGTCGTGACGTCACGGCGCTGCAGTGTGTTTGTTTCATTGTTTCATGCATGAGCTTTGATAATGTTCAGATGGTAAAACATTGTAACGTCTTTTTGTCGCTGTGCATGCTATATCTGTCGCTATCTGAAGGGAACAAAGCGTCCTATATCAGCTGTGTGTATGTTGTGCTTGTGTTTCCCCCGCTTCGCTGACATACATACACACTACTCTTCACACTCTTCAGAATTGTCCACACTACAGTTATTGTAACGCAATTGAACATGTTTTATTTTATTTTGTTTTGTTTTTTTTTTTGATATGGGTTTGTTTGGTTGGGTACAGGTTGGTTTTGTTGAGTATGGGTATGTCTTTGTTGGGTATGGGTTTGTTTTGGTCAGGTAGTTTATGTCTTTCAGATGTATATTTTGTTCTATAGGCCTACATATGTTTTGGTTGGCTATTTACGATTTGTTTTAGTTTGATATGAACTTGCTTTAGTTTGGTGTTGGTCTGTTGTTGGGGTTTAGGTTTATTTTCTGTTCGGTATGGGTTTAAAACATAAACATTAGCCTATGAGAATTATTTCTTTCAGAAGAATTAATAAGTCAACACCTGGAAAAGTGACTAGCATTATACTTGTGACCAGGCATTCAGCCTAGATTTACATGACATTACCTATCCTCCCTCCCCCATTCATTTGCCAATGCTTTGTCCCTCTTCTTTCAGATGAAAAAAATGTAAGAATTGTACCACATACTGCACTCAAAGGGTTCACTAAGCAGCAATACATTTTTTTAAATGTAACAGCGCATTGTTTGATAGCTACTATATATCTAGTTGATGGACCATTTAACTGCTGTACTCTTGGTTCTAAGCTTCCATGTTTAGACAGACTGTAGTCATGTTTGTGTGTAATTTGGCCCCTGTGACTGTGCTTTACCAATTAAAGCTGCCAATTTACTAAAGCCAACAAACAGGCCTGACTGACTAGGCAGATATATTTTAGTTGGATCACAATTGTGTTCCAAAAAAATATACTTTAAAATGGAAAGAGCTGGCTGCATTCCTTTGGTGTCTTCAGAATCATTTCCCTGTATTTGATTTCTCTTTGTGGATTAAAGACCTCTTGGTCTGTTTGGCTCTTCGAGTGAGAGTTAATTACCGTCGAAAGACTGTTTTGGAGTATATGATATCCCCTCAGTGCTATTGTTATTTGGAACTTACTGTTCCACTGATGAACTCTTCCACTCTCTCTTGCTTTCTTTCCTTTTTACACTAGATCTTAAAACAATGCACCCAACTCTTTCCACTTTTTTCGGAATATCTCATTAAAGAGCTTCCTTTGTTTTTGAGCAGGGATTCTGTGGTTCCAACTCGTTTCTGGCACTAGGGTGACGCTCGCAATAAACTCAGACATGTAACAGGATCATGTGGCTTCCTTTGGACTCTATCGCGGCTGAAAATCAATTCGTCTGGAGCTGACACCAATAAACATCTCTTGTTTGGCATGTAAACAAACACTTTTTCTTTTTTTATCTTTGCACAGCATTTTTGGTCCACCAGCACTGGTTTCTGGTTGATCAGAATGGATTGTTAAAGGGATAGCTGACCCAAACAATTCTGTTATCACACAACCGTCATCCCATTTCTTTTGTGAGAAAAAGAAGTTTTGAACATTGTTCATCTATGAAAGTGGATTTACTCTTAGTAATTAGATTGTATATTATTTTAAAACTGTAAGCTCATTTTTTAAGAGATAACACTGGTTCTTGACGGTGAAATATTCAATCTCATGTGAGAGTTTAAAGGGTTGGTTCACCCAAAATGAAAATGATCCCACAATTTACTCACCCTCATATTTATGTACCCTCTGTACCCTATATGACTTTCTTTCCGCCAAACTCAATTGGAGTTTTATATATATCCTGGCACTTTATAATGGGAGTGAATAGTACCTGAGATTTTGAAGCCCAAAAAAGCACATGCTCCATCCACCATAAATAAAGGGCTTCTGGCTTCCGGTAATGGCCGTACTCAAGTCTAGTTCCAGAAGAAGAGTGACATCTGACGCAATGTAGAATGTAGGAGATCCTAGTAAGCTTAGGTGAGAATAGGCAACAAACTCAAGATGCTCCAACATTTCTCTCTTAAATTAACCGGCGTTGTTTTTCATCAGTATGTCATGCGTCGGGCCAGAGGTCACTCTTCCGTCGTAACTTGACTCGTGTACAAGTTTATATAGTGTATATAGTTTATACGAATATTTTTTCTTACACAAAAGAATCAATTTGATTCAGTAGGCCTTTATTAACCCCCTGTAGCCATGTGGATTACTTTTATGATGGCTCGATGCACTTTGTGTGGCTTCAAAATATCAGGTACTATTCACTCCCATTATAAAGCTTGGAAGAGCCAGGATCTTTTTTTTAATATAACTCTGATTGTGTTTCTATGGAAGAAGAAAGTCACATACAGCTAGAGTGGGTAAATTATGGGATAATTTTCATTTTGAGTGAGTAACTCTTTAACGGCAGCACACAGTACACCCATTAAAATGATTCAGTTGAGCATTAGATTTCTAATTCTTTGTGTGATATAAAATAGTCTTGGTCCATGATGTCATGAGGTGGAAGCTACTAGTAGATCAAGGAACTTTTGAGTTATGAAGACCATGTGGAAACATATTCAGTGGATAAATGATGTCATATTTTTGTCAGAGTTCTGGAATAACCAGTTGGAGCAGGCCTACTGCAGTCAGCTGGGAGAGTTCAGAGCGTCTCGCCTTGAAGTCGAACAGCTGTTGCTTATGACACAGTTTCCCTTGAGCTGGGTGGTGCGAGGATGTGTGTATACACACCCCATGCTGTGGGAATTTAGGTGTGTTAATGGTTGCTAGTTTGCTCATTGATTGCTTTTTTGTTTTGCTTTACCAAGGATTAAATTGTCAGAAGAAAAGAAACCATCACTTAACATGTTTTAAATCCTTTGTAAGAGAATCAGACATTGACTACATTTACATGCAGCCAATAACCCGTTTAAAATCTGGATATTAGCAATAATAGCATGTAAACACCGGCAAAAACCCGAATATGCTCATATCCAGAATTTTAAAAACCGGGATATTATACCTGGTGTACCGCTTTTCTAACCCGAATTTTTGGTCATGTAAACACGCATCGGCATATCCCCATAGTGATTTATGTTCTGCGCATGTTCTATTCGCAGGGAATCTTGATCTTTTGAGTAGAGAAACTTCTCGGCGCATACAAAAATCCACGTGCAGTATACCGGAAGTAAACATGGCGAGACACAGCACAGCATACTTTTAGAGCGAGGTCAGTAACGTTACCAGCATCAAAGCGTGAACAAAGGCGATCGCTATCTGCCCCGAACTATTCATTATCTGCGTGCTGCTGTAGTTTTTGTCTTTGGATACAGGAAGAAGAATCGGAAATGACGCATATTGCATCTTAAGGACAATTTATACTTCTGCGTCAAGGGTACGCCGTAGTGTACGGCGTTGGCTACGCACCTAGCCGACGCCTTTGTGAGCATTTATACTTCTGCGTTCAGGTCTTGGTTGCTCTGCAGTACTGCTCCGAAACGCTAGTTGGCGGCGGAGGGTTTTAATGTTCCACTGTTTAGATTCCTCGAGTTGCGGCTAGGTTACTGCAAGCCTGAAAGAGAGCGGATCATGTTGGAGTTGGAGCTTATTGGTGGAAAAACAATTAATTTGAGTGAAATTACTAAAACTGAAAGGCAGAAATGAGAGAAGACGTCGGAGGAGATGGTACGTGTGGAAATGCGTGAGAAGGTACGTACGGAAATGTGTAGGAGGAAATGCGATGCTACAAAGCCGACCAATCACCGATCTTGCGGTCCGCGTCGTCGCAATGTGTAGTTACATTTTTGAGGAGGTGCGCGTCAGGCTACGTCGTAGGGTACGCGGTATGGGACGCATCTCTGCGTATGCGACGCCGTACCTACTGCGCGCACCCTACGCAGAAGTATACAGTAAATTGGCCTTTAAGATTGTCCGTACGTCTAGCCGCTAACCACGTGTTGCCGTTTACATCGCGATATTGCAATTCCATGTATACAGGAGAAACTCTCTGCTCACGTATATAAACGGGTTATTCCTAATGTTTCAGAAACCCGAAATTTGGCTGCATCATGTAAATGTAATCAGTGTTAGAAAAGCTTATAGTCAGTTTCCAGGTTTTGCTGGAAAGGATATAGAACAAATTTAAATCTAGAAAACGTGTCCAGGGGCCTCAATTATAAAACGCACATACAGATTTGATCCTAGAGTTCATGATTTCATCCTATGTTATTGAGGAACAAATTGGGATTTAAAAAGGCAAAAACTGTTGTGAAAATTTATACATATACCAGTAAAACCAGTAAAAATGTAATAAACTAAAATGTAAAAATAAATAGACAAACACATGCATTAATATGCTTTTTATGCACAAATTAGCGACTGCTTTGTGATAATTGCCACTGAAGTTAATAATTAAATTATTAAATTATTCAATTATAAATGGATGTTTTTATAAAAGAGGCAACTCACTTAAAAATGTAGCTGCTGTTATACGTTAGATATTTAAGTTCTCAACAAATTTATACTATAAGCTTAAGTTAACTAAACTTACAAATTTAAGTCAAGCACAAACACTTACTTTTTTAAGTTGAATCAACACATTAGTTGTGATACTAACTAATCGCAGCAATATTTTTTTTATTCCAACCAATAATAATAATAATAATAAAGATTATATTTTGAATAAATTGTGGCATTATTATTATTTTACTTTTCCACCCCTAGCTGCACCAAATAAAATTGTAAACTTTTTATTTAAACAGCAGCAGGATATACTAGCAACATTGCCTCAACCGATGTTGTGAGCTTGGGGCAGGACTGCAATTAGATTAATTACTATAATGCAATAGTTAAAAAAA